GATCTGCATCTCATTTGAACCAGACTGATCTGCACAATTTGAGAGCTATGTAAAAACTGGGTCTTGAGTCCTCTTGAGCCTTCTGTATGTGCCTCCAAATCAAATTTGGAAGTGTATAAAATGCTGATGTTACATCACAAAAATAGACAATGTGAACCAATGTATGATGGGGTACCAGATTATGTAGCAAGATGTGGAGAACAACATATACAATTTCTGCAACTTTTTGTGGAGAGGGGAAGTGGAAAAATCAAAAAAGTAAATAAGGATATTTAATTCTTGGAGCTCCTCCGCCAATAAACTCAAGTCTGTCCTAAGCCCCTCTTCCAGGGTGTGATAAATGCACTTTTGAGGGGCTTTGTTAAGCAGAGTTCACGTAGCTTCTGGGGTTTGGGCTCTACACTACATACCAGTCACTCCATCAAGCTCCCAAGCACTGGAAAAGATGTGCATGTGTTGGGGCTATCTGTCAGCAGTAACAAAGTGTGCCAAGTAAAACCACCTAGCTGACTGACAAAAAAACTTAAACTTAAATAAAGGACAGCACTATCTGGCGACCACTTTTTATGACCCGACACCCTGTAGTTTTTTGGTACATATCCGCACTTTTTTTGCTTTTTTTGCCAACCCGGACCCGACTCCGCCAAATTTGGCTGCAGCCGCAGCAAAACCGGGTATCAAATAAGTTACCAGCTCCAGTATTGGAAAGAGGGCTCCTCACCATGCGAATCCGGGCTATTTTGATCACATATCAAACTAGGCTGTCTCTCTACTGTAGTGAATAGACAAAAGAAGTAAAACACATGAGCAAAAAGAAAGATAAGATTCCACAAATTTGCAAGTTAAGTACCTATAGTGAATAGACAAAAGAAGTAAAACACATAAGCAAAAAGAAAGATAAGATTCCACAAAGTTGTGGAATCTCGAAATCGAGATCTGAAAAAGTTTTGTTAGCAACAGCGTGTGAAAGTCTGTGCCGCAGTTGTGTAAGTCACGTGAGTCCACAATATCTACCACTTACATCGAGCTTCAACTGTCCCATCTCCCTTGGGACAAACCGATGTTTCAATTGTTCCACTTTGCAAAGATCCAATGTTCCATTTTGAAGGTGAGCATCCACTATGAGTCGCCTAAAGATGGTAAGTGTCTCGTCCTCTTCCTTGTTTTTGTTCTTCCACAAGTACTGACCTCACCAATGTTACATCCACAGCAGCCAACATTCTTTGTTTGCCTCTGCTCCAAAGATCAAACAGTCATCCTTGTCATATCTCCTTTCAATGTGTGGATTGCACAAAAATGATACACAGGTTTCTGGTTGTGGTGTTGTGTACTTTTCTCTCAATCTCAATTTACCATCTCATGTTTGTTGATTGATGGGTTGTTTGTTGTGTTGTGTAACTTTTTGCTCAATCTCAAATGCTCACGCTTGTTGCTCATGTCTTGCTCTTTTTGTATCTTACTTATCTCTAACACTTGATCCTTTTGTTCTATGTGATTTATGTGTTTGGTTTTGAAATCTAAAAGTTGATCTCGTGGGCACTTGAGAGTCTGGAAGAGTTTGAGTAAGGGCGTGAGGTGGTAAAATTGACTTTTGATGAGTGAGAAAATGAGACAATTGAATTGAATGAATTGGTCGCAGACATGTTTTTTTTGTTGAGCCAGCGCAATTTCAAATCAAAATCAAACCGGGCAATAACAAGTATCTGAGAACCGGGCATTGGGTCAAAAAAACCGGTCGCCAAATAGTGCTGTCAAAATAAAAATACACATAAAAATACATTACACCTCTAGCACTCAAGTTTCACAAGTGAGTAATATCTTTTACATCACAAAGAATAATAAAATGATCAGCCTAAATATTGGATTACAACTGTAACCAGAAGTCAAGCCAATACTCCCTCTGACATACAGGGTCTTGCAGAATGATAAATGAAACAAACCTGACCATGCACAAACTACAAACCAACCAGCCCTCTATCTTCAATCAATCAAAGAAAATACTAACTAGTCAGGGTCGGAATATATCTGAACCCTAGTAACTATCAAACACCAAAAGATGACTAAAGTGTTTTTTATTACCTTTAACTTGAGGATAAAACAGCAGTCTACTTCCTACAAAACAAAGAAGAATCATCTGTTGTCTACATCAGCATCTTATTAAAACCAACTTCTTTTGACATCTACCTCAACCTATCAAACTTACAGTTTTTTCCTGCCTTGTCTACTTTGATTTGAATAACCACATTTCCTCCAGATATTTTCCAAAACACCACATCCTTCAAGAAATCAGACTCATCTCTATCATTGTATTTTCTCTTATTTTCAATTTAAATTTGTTTCATCTCTTACAAAGAAACTTCAAAGATTGTCTAGCTAGGGCTGTTGGACTGAAGACCTTCATCTACTCAGAAAATTCTTTGATAGAATGTGCACATTTGTCACTACTGCTAAAGCGTGCCCAAAGCCAGTTTACCTAAGGTATCCACTTTAGTAGAAAAACTCTTCCAATCATTCAGAAGATTTGTAATAGTTGTAAATTTCATGAATTTTTACTTCCACAGAGAACCAAAAATAAAATCATCTAGCCTGAAAGCTGATAATTCACATTTTGTGAGTACATTTAGCACTAATTCTAATCCATTTCTTACCAAAAAAATGAACTTAGGCTGACAGTTGGTGTTGGAAGCAAAGGAATATAACCCTTTTTAATCAGTCAATTTTGTTTTACAAATCCAAAAAACAAATTCCAAGTACATATTACCAGAAGTTGTTGACATATCTTGATATTTACATTTTCAAAAAAAAGACTTGAGCAATCCGCATCAAAATCAAAACAAATTCAACTTATCAAGCCTCCCTCCACTCATAAATCAATGACTAGATATTCCCTCAAAACTTATTATCTTTGTGTTTTCAAAATAATCAGGGCTCAACACTTTGGATTTATGTTCTTTGACTTTGCTCAACTTTTACTGTGTAGTGAGTAAACACTACAATTTTGCAAAAAGTGACTCTGTACTTTCAGAGTTGATGATAAATCATGAATCAGGGTCCAACATGAGTTAAGAAGTATGCAGTGTAGAGTTGATGATTTGTGCCAATGGTGTTTGATGTAAATACTTGGAGAAACTATGTACATAAAAGAACCAAAACACATGATTTGGCCATAAAGCACCCAGTGCAAGTTTAGGGAGAAAGTTGATTGACTGAGAAAAGGAAAGGGTTCAAGTCCATACAACAAAGCAAATTTCAAATTTCTACACCACCAAGAAACACCTTGTTTCTTGGATTGATAGATCCAAGGTGTTTTCCTCTTTGCAGTGTGCACCCTCAGCACCAGTGACCCTCAGGCTCAGTTCTGTATTGAAATCAGGTTTCTCTTGTCTTTTTCTCTTACATTAGTAACCATACTACTCCTGACCAACTTTCCGCATTGAGTGTGTTTGTTTATTTTAATTGTCTTTATTGTTCTGTTGTTCCATGCCTCACTACATCATATCAACTAATCCCAATGCGGCATGTGAGAGTCACAACATTGTTTAGAAATCATTAACCTATGTCTTGAGTTAGAATCACTATAAAAGAAGCTATTGAGTGCAATCATATTTGTTTTCCTCACACAATTACTTGTCTTCTTTTATTGGCTACCTTCCAATAGGTGCCTTCCTTTCTCTCATCACTCCTACATGATTATAGCTGTAGCCCTTATCTAAATCATTAACTTGTGATTCCTACCAGGTCCGCTAGTTGTTATATGTTTCTCTTATTTTTCACCAACTAATGGTTGCTCATAATAATAATTAACACAATTACTTTTCTTCTTTTATTGGCTACCTTCCAACAGGTGCCTTTCTTTCTGTCATCACTCCTACGTGATTATAGCTGTAGCACTTATCTAAATCACTAACTCGTGATTCCTACCTGGCTTTGCTTCCTTATTTTATTATTCTGTATCCTCGGAGTACACCTGTCCGAGAAATGAATCCAAGCTCTGGCATTTGGCCTTGGCCGTTGTTCAAACGGAAAACCTGAAGCATTTAGGTTTACATTTGAGAACAACTCGGATCTTCAACTCCGATGGATACTGATTCTTGATTTTTTACTGACTGTGGTTTTCTTACGCAATACTTGTGCTTCTTGCCTCATTTCTGAAGAGAAGGCATCTGGAACTCCCTCATGTGCAAAAATCAGTGACAGCCTTGTCATGATTCCATGAACAATTACAACAGAAAATATGTAAATGAATAGGCCAAGAGATTTATGTAGTGGTACATAACTCAAAGGTGAAGGCAGGTAAAATCGTATTTCAATTTCTATTGTCCTCTCTCATGATCTAAGCCGGTTTCATGGAGGCAGTGCGAAGGGATATCTGTCTCGCTTACTCTCTTAACCTGGTTATCCTCAGCAACGTCCCACGCTCACTCTTGGGTCTTGGCGAGTACATAGTCGAGTTGTTCTTCGAAAAATTTGAGATTGGAGCAGCGATGCAACAATTTCAATCAGTGACTTTCTGCCAAGAGGTGCTGACGGGATTTGAACATGAATCTTCGACTCAAAGCCAACTTCCAAGCGCTGACTCTTGAACTTTTGAAAGCTTGGAAACTTTTGCCCGCCAAACTTGAGCAAATTGGCGTGGAATTCTTTCCAAGCTTTGTGAAATTGACTTGAACATTTCTGTCATGACCACAGGAACAAATGCGACTGATTCATGATGTCACACATGAGAGGGTGTCTCACGGAACTAGCAATTACCACACGGTTGCAAGGTCTTGGCAGTCTCAGACGAGTATGTTTTGACTAAAGACCACAAACAACAAGGGGGTGCTGGAGTCACGAACACCGGCCGTACGCACCCAGCTCGAGTATATAAGGAGAGGTTGGAGAGGGCGTTTTGTTTCTCCAGGCCATCACACCTTCCATCAACAAGCTCACTCACAAAACTCGATATCTTAGATCTATCTATCACGTTCTAACAATCAAACCAGATTTATTTTACCAAAATGCAATTTGGTCTCAAGTTCTTCACTCTGCTTGCTCTCGTTGCGCTCGTTGGCTCTACTTTAGGACAACGTGAGTCACCACTGAAGCTTTCTTTCGAGATTGCCCTGCTGATTCTTTGGTTTTTTCTTCTCTAGCTGTGGCCAATGAGCAAGGTAAGGTTGCATAGATTTGAATGTTGACTCTTGATCATTTACTAATCTCTTTACTCCGTAGCTGCTGGTGAACCTATCTTGGTAAAGCGATGGACCCAATGGAATCTAAGCTGGGGCCGACAACCGTTTCTCCGAAATAACCACTGGGCATTGGGTACTCAAGCAACTCCATGGGCAATCGGTTTGATAAACAATCAACCTGTCGGTTGGCACAATGGGTGGTACAACGTACCCCTAAACGTATTCCCCAATGGTGTGCTGCCTACGAACCAAAGAGAATCAGGTGCGTGGAAGGTTCTGATAAGAACAGAGATCAAGAATCAGTCTTGACTAGAGACTGATGAGGATCGAAGAATTCCACAATACCTGATAAGAACAGAGATCAAGAATCAGTCTTGACTAGAGACTGATGAGGATCGAAGAATTCCACAATCTGGATAAAAGCAGATTGTAAAGGAATCTAATAATGAGTTCGATATTGCAAAGAGAGAACTAATTAGAGAATAACAACTAACACCTGATAAGAACAGAGATCAAGAATCAGTCTTGACTAGAGACTGATGAGGATCAAAGAATTCCACAATCTGGATAAAAGCAGATTGTAAAGGAATCTAATAATGAGTTCGATGAGAGAAAAGAACAACACAAAGTCTACAACAGTTGTTCTGATATATGAATGAATCGAACACATTAAAATCATGCCATGATGTTAGAAAGAAAAACTCTTCTATAATGCTCTTCCAACAATACGCGTCCTGCTCTTTAGCATGACGTCGCTACGCGACGTTCAATTGAACCCCGTTCTCCCAAACTTCGGTTCCTTCATTACCAGAGGCCCCCCAGCCGGCTGGTTCTAAACCACGCGGTTAATAACCCTTTCCTTCACAATGTTCGAAAACTGTGGGTATCTCGCTTGAATTCCAATGACTGGTAAATACTGACATGGAAATTTGTTCCAACAGTATCTCATGCTTCACGTCCGTTTGCTTTGGGCTTATATCCTTTGGATCTTCAGCTCGCCATATGGACATTGTTTCTTCTTTCTCTCCTGGTTTTCTTATTCAAATCTTGATCAATTCCTGTCATTGATTCACGATCCCGTTCACATTGTCACTTATTTATGTACTGAATCCTTACGGTTGTCTTTTGAATGTTTTTCCTCCATCTTACTTGTTCTATTGTGTTGTCCGCGTGTCTTCAGCCATCAATCAGATATCATTGTGCTGTATTGCCATACAAGTCACTAAGTGAACGTGAGTCTTGAGAGGTTGCTCAGCTGTGAGTATGTTTTACTTTGGCCCAGTAGAGGACAAAGGTGGAGTGAAACCTCAAGGTAAAGATCGCTTTTGCAGTTCTATTGTTCTACTTCTACCTATATATAAGCTTAGTTGAGCGAGGGCGCGACGCGGCGAAAGCGCTCATGAGGGGCTTTGGTTAGGCTTATTCGGCTTGTTCTGACCATGTAGTCCTTTGAATCTCATGCTTCATTGTACCTCTCATCGGGGACCGGTTTGGCATGTTCGCCGGTGGAAGTGCATCAACGAAATTTGCTTCAAGACTTTAGCCTCTGTCATTGAGCTCTTCTAGTCGGTTTATCTTTTGTCGCTCTATTATCCGAGTCCTATCCATCGGAGTCCTTTGTACGCTTCATAGCATCAAAGGGGACACAGATCTTCACAGATCACGTGTGTCAATCATATTCCAGCACGGGCTGAGTCAAATTGACTCAAACCTTTGTTTATGTTTGTATGTCACTGTGATCTTCATGAGACCTCATGAAAACCCATTTGATTTGGTCTTATGATGACTACTTTTGTAATTCTATTACAGCCGTTTCAAGAAAGATTGTCGACTTTTTTGGATAAATTTGTCTCCGCAGTACGTCTTGAGCCTAAGTAAGCCCCTCACGAGTCTCTAATGAAAATGTAGGTTGACTGAGCTCATCACTTCAGGCAGTCTTCGCGGTATGATGTACAAGTCTTTGTAAAGCATGATGTGTGAGGAGCAGGCTGCTATACGCGTCGAGTGGAAGGAAAAGAAATAAAGGGATCGCATTTCCTTAAACCGACACCCAAATATGGCACATTGACCTTTATCACGTTTTACATCTTAATTTGGAATGACCAGGAAGTCTGTCAAAACACAGGTCTATTTGCTTTCCAGTATGGTGCTTTGCCCGTTGATCTCCTTCACGACTCTACAAGCTCTGTCTGATGACATGTATCATATGTTGTCTTTGTGAGAACAGGTTGAAGAGAAGCAGACCTTCGATATCCATTCGACCAATTCCTCATGATTTCAAGCTGGGCGATTCATCTTTTATCTTGGATTGTTATTGGGAAATTATGACTTATCCGAGATGATTCAATGTCGATCTTTGTCTTCATCAAGACAAAGCGTTGACTGGATTGATGTTGAAGGGTTTTCTATGTATCACACTTTTGATTTTTCCTGCTCTTACCTATCTCTTTCATTCACTTCATCATTCACTTTGATTATTCCATCAAATTGATCTCCAATGCTCCCTCGATTAGTCTGAACATCAATCAATATCCGCCATCGCATCAAAAATTTCACCCGCAGATCCAATCACAATTATCTTTCTTTCCTTCCTTCTCATGGTTCACGTTCTGTGTTGAATCGATCAAACTATGTACTTGGTCTTACCCAATCACCTTTTCGGTAGCCCGTATGAGATTACAACCCTCCTTCGACTGCAATTCATCAGTCTCAATCAAAATCCATTCCTTGCCTTCCTGTGGATATTGGCTCTACTCCCCAGGGTCACGCATCTGTGATGATTTGGGCCCGGTATACCGGGATGGTTGTGGCCGTTAACGTGGCACAAGTTAGCTCCACTCCCCTATCATCCTAGATGTAAAGCGGTGGTGTAAGATGTCTCGAGACAGCCTCGTTCTATGGATCGTTCCTTAGCCCTGAGTGATCGCCCTAACGAGCCGTTTTGATCGCTTTTTATTAGAATCTGAGTCGGCGAGCTACCTACTCATGACAAATCAATACCCGCCATCTATGAACTTCACTTGAACCCTATTGTTGAAGATCAGCATATAAATATGAAGTCTTTCATACCTAGTCCCGGAACATATCTCACTTTCCCTTCAATAATTTCAACTTCTAAAAATCACTCATCATCATACCAGCTCTTGAACAACCTTGAATTCATCGGATACCTATTGTTTCTTTGGATCCTCTGCATCACTCTAAGATTCTGATTCACACTCATTCTTCACGTTCATTTCTATCAAAAGAACAAAAGCAACACGGCAACTCGAGTCTTCACTGAGCTATTTGACAGCAACTTGATAAGGATTTTCCTTGTCGTGATACCAGATAAATTTCCACCAATCTAAGTCAGTGCCAAAGTTCTCGATGTTCAGGCTTTTTACGTTTCCCATTTATGTTTTGAATGAGCACTCACAACTAGACGGTCTTTATTTTTTCCTTTGATCCTAGGCCCCGTTGAAAGGTCTTCCTCCCCGTCACTCTCTCGTTCATCTATCTCGTATCATTCATTCCAGCTCGACTTCAAAGCATTCCCATTCTCCTCTTCCTTTTCGCATTCACCATTTACTTCAGGTAGGCGTTTATTATTTTTCTCGGTAAGTTGGTCTTTCGATCAGGTTCATCTTGAGATCCTGCTGGAAGCAAACGATGCTGACCGATCGGATCTGTGTTTGATTCTCAAAAGATTATTTTTCTAGTTCTACTTCTCTTCCATCCTCATCATGTCATCAACCTTATGCCTACGTCCAGCTTGTCTCACTGAGATCTCCCAAGGCGCTTCGTGGTCTCATTGTTTAGCAAAATGTCACCTTGAGAGGGAACGTATCGACTTTGCTCATAGTCAACTAAAAGCTATCGAAGTATACTACATACATGAACAACAAGTGGCAAAGCGACAAATGATGGAGCCACATCTGAAAGGAACCGAGTCTTGCAAGGTTTATGGATTAACACCTCAACAATTTATCCATCCTCATTATTTCACTCAACATCTTCATCAAGCATATCGACAACGACAAGCCTCTAAACGAATGTGTCGACAAAAGAAGCAGAAAAATAAATTTGAATCTGATGTTGAAAACGCCTCTAAGAGTGTATCTGAAGTTCTGTCTGCTTTACGAACTTCACTTCTAAATCGACGTAAGGAAGTCGAAGAAAGAAGTTCAATTTATGTATCAGAAGTGATTCAAGAAGAAGATGACATGAAAGTTGAATACGAGTTTCAAGGTCAACTGTCTCAAAAATCACAATCCGATCATCTTACTGCTTCAAATCACGCACAACAACTCTTAGAGCTACAACAACAAGAGTATCAACGTCAGGTATTACAACAACAATACCTTTTAGCAGAACAACAAAGAAGATACCAAGATCAACAAGAGCAAGAGTATCAAATCAGGCTTCTCCAACATCGTCAACACGAGGAACATCAGAGACATCTCCATCTTCAACAACTCCAATGCTCCCAAACTCAACAAGCTCAGCCGCCTCAAGGTATCCGGACCGGAACAAGATCCCGGGCCAACGCTCGCTCTTCCGGGTCTGTACCACCCGTCACCACTTCGACTCCCATCCCATGGGTCGTGGCAGCAGCGGCTAAGATTTCATCTTTACAAAGCATTCCAAGTCCTTCAAAAGATTTGGCATGTCCCGAAGTTGAAATGGTAGATTTGTTTTTCCCAATGGTGACAGAAGATGATCGGATGGATATAGAGTTTCAACATGATGATGATGATAAGATGGTCATTGATAGTTTTGAGATGGTAAAGAGTGATTCAGATTGTGTGATGATGGAAGTTGAATCTGATGATGAAGATTCGATGATGGAATAAGTTCTTTTTTTCTCTTTTCTTCAATTCTCATTTCTAATTGCATTGTTATCTCTTCTTCTTTTTCTCATTCTAAATGCATCGTTTTCTCTTGTGTTTCGACTCTTCGATGTTACTTTTTTTTAATTTCTCTTTTGGTTTTGACTTCTCCTACGCTTGCATATTCAATTTTGTTTATATTCGAAATTCTCATGCTTTCATGCTTTCATGCTTTCATTTCTTTCTCAATACTATTTAGTTGTTTATCTTATCTTGAAAGCACCGGAGATTGCTTTAATCCGCCTAATCCAATAATCTCAAATCAATTATGCTTTCTTTTTCAGCCTGACTTCGTCATGCCTCCTGACTAGCTTTGTGGTCATGCCTCGAATCTCATGGTTTTCCATTCAACTTTGCGTCATACAAAATAATCTGAATCCTTGAGAATCTCTTGACGAAGTCATTGTCATGTCCTTCAAACTCATGACAACCTGTGAATGTCTATGAGCCGCTCAAGCAATGTGCGCTGGTGGGAGGTGCAATGGAAGTTTCAAACCTCTCAATGCCTACTTAGGCACCCCTCAATGAGGAAGTGCCGTGGCCCGTTTATTCCCTTATCACGATTACTCCACAAGCTTTTGTTTGATCGTTTGTCATACATGAGTATTTGTGGAAGCAGTCATAAGAAGCAATGTGTGGAATTGTGTCTCCGGTCATGAGTTACAGAAGATTTTTTCTACGACAAGAAATTTCATGTGTATGTTGTAACAAATCCCGAGTCATATTCTGGAGAACTTTCATCGATGTTGATCGACATGATACATTTACTTTTGGAGCCCATTTTTTCTAAAAGACATAAAACACGTGTATGATTTTTGTTTTTGACCCCATGATTCAATGGCCTGACAAAAATGTATTCAAGAGTAGAAGAGATACAAAGGAGGAAGAACAAGATACCGATTCCAAAAAGACAAGCAAAATGAAAAAGACCATCATCACCCGCTCATACCAATCCATCTTCAACTCGACAACTTACTTTCCATTTTATAGAGAACTCCATAGTATTGTTGGTCAAGGAAATGTAATTTAGCATAATAGTTATATTGAGTTTTTTGGCCACCAATCTTTAAAGTCTTTGTAACTCTTCCATTAACTACGATCTGAAGTCCTTCACTGCTCTCTACACGATTCACTGATTGCTCAAATGCAATCAACAATTGTTGTGTAGCGTGATTCGAGGGGCATGAAGAAGAATTATGGTTCAGATCTTTCTTGATCAAGATCATAACGAATGGGTTTCTACTCACCGCTCGTGATTACTTTCTCAAAGGTGGCATCGGCAACTTTGTTCTTGAAAATATTGATGATAGCTATGTCGCCAAAAACATGAATTGGAAGTTAGAACCGATGGAATTAGGTATCTCTTGTCATGAGATTATGTCGATGGATAGAAGATCTCCTGGAACTTGGTGGGTGCCAAAATGACGGAGTGACTACGAGCATACAAGAATCACTCACCAGCTTTTCCTATGACTGTTTTACCTGAGCTAGCCACTACTGGTACTGGTTTATCACAAAAGTAAGACACAGACTTCTGTGCATCAGAAGCATCCACTGCCGTGTAAAAATCGGTCAAAAACTTCTTGAAGTTTCCGGGTATGTCTGATAAAGGCAAGGATAATTTAGAAACCTAAACTGTGGCCTTTTATGAGACATCAGGAAAGTTTCCTTACTTTCCGGAACGACAAAATTCGAAGAGAAACTCAAGCAATTGATCGTTGAAAGGTTTGAGAAAGAGAGCAAGAAGAAGCTCGCAAATAAAAGTATGGAGGATCGCAGTATGGAAACCATGACTTGGAAAATGCTCGATAGAGTTTTAGTATTCTGAAGAGAAGGCTTGTGAAGTGCAGATGTTCGACTCCGTTCTCCAACTCTTATATATAGTCAATCCAATACCGACCCTGACTCAGGATGATTAATGATAATTGTTGACACTTTCTGAAGCAAATCTTTTGGGCATTTGAGGTTACAAGGTCGGTGCACTGAACAATATCCTGATGCCAAACTCCATACAGCCTTCAGCAGCATGTTCCCTTATCTCTTATGCAAGTCTCTTTGTCGATATTCACGTTTGATGGACAGTCAAATTCACATTCCCCGCAGCGGGAGCTCGCCATCACCCTTGAAAGCATAGTCCGGGTAGAAATCTTGGCGACGATCATGACATAATTTTCAACTGCCTTTCGTCTCACCGGTATCCCGGGCAGTGATATCGTTCCACGTCGAAGCGTTCAAGAGGAAAGTTATAAACCTTGTTCTAAAAATTTCTCGGAACACTTGTGTCAAGACCAGACTCAACATTTCAGTGGTACAAGAATGACGCCATATAAGTTTAATGACCTCATAGGACTTGTATCAAGAGTGTATTATGTACTATAACCAGAATGATCAATTTTGAGACATTCAAATATACAATCAAGAAGGGTACCCAGTATTAATGATGCTATGTACAAGGTAGATAGAAGCAAGCGCAGAAATCTTCATCTCGCATTTATCCTTGCAAACTCAATCTTGCGTCAAAATTACCTATAAGCATTTTAAGGGGACGCATATATATGACTGGATATTCTTTTGCGCATTTATAGGCTCGAATAATTGACAAATCAACCAGTTCAACTTAATCATTTAGCTTTGAGATATCTTTGTTTCAATCTTACTTTATGATTTCTCTGATTAGCCAAACTGATTCAAATCAGATGTCTTTATCTGAGGTGATACCACCACTGAAACCCAGTTGAGAGCTGACCGATAACACGTATCCATATCTATCCTCGATCAATTTTGGCCAATCATCAGTTTACGTATATAATTTTGTTCTTGACCTCATGGTTGAAAGGCCTGACTCAAAGATACTTTACGGAACATGGCAACGATTTGAAAATGGATTCAAATCAAAGCATGTTTGTGCAAGTTCATCATCAATTTCCTAAGATAAATTCCATTTTATAGAGAAATACACAGTACTTACCTTTTAGAACATATAATTTGGCATTATTAGTTTGTTGAATTATCTGACCATTGGATTTGAAAGTGACACTTTCAATCCAATTTACATCAATGGCCAGGTCTCCATCATGATCTAAAAGCTTGACTATTTTTCAAGGTAGTAAAAGTTATGGATCATTGAAGAAATGGTTGGTTCAAGAATCATTATTCAAATCTCCCTGAATTATCATGATAAAGTTTTTTTACTCACCGCTTGTGAATTCTGTTTCAAAAGTCTCAAGTTCAGCTGATGCTTCAAAAAATACAATGATAGCTTCCAATACAAAACAATCAATGAAAATTTGACATCATCAGAATGCATTGTATATACATCTTGATTATAATGAAGAAACCATATCAAAAGTGAATGGATGGATTACTTACCTGGGTTTCCTGCGAGTGTTTGACCAGAGACAAGCACTACTTAGTATACCGGATCAACAGAAGCAATGTTATTGGTGGGTACTAGACAAGCTTTGCCAAGCTCAGCTTTGATTTGAAAACCCAACATGTGTGTGTGGTACAGCAATGATGCCATACATGGCGCTCAGACTCAAGAGTAGATAATGGGCCTCATTGTTTTTATCAAATTGACTGCATCATCATCCAAGTCCTCCAGTATTGATTTACTTTTGTGAACTTGTTGTTTCCCCCATAGAAGTGTTCTTCATGTGACATGGTGAAGTAAAGGATGTGATTTTGATGTGAAACCTGAATCAGTTTTGTGATTTCCGGGCGCATACATCCAACTTTTTTTGTAATTTGACTGTTGACCTTCAAGTTCTTGTCTCTTGACAATTTTGAATTCTTATCATCATCATCGACATGGAACCTTCATCATCATCGACATTGACTCAACAACTTATCTCAACTTACTTCATCCAAGCTCAAGATTCATCTGAAGAAATCCAAATCACTATCAATCAAATCATTCAACTCTTTACCGATCATCATTTGAATTTAATCGATTTAATCCTTAAACTTGGTCCACAATTAACATCAGAGATCGATTCAGATAGAGCAAACTCAATAAAGCTATTATCAAGAGTGGTTTCTCAACTTATCAATAATTTCAAATCATCAGAAAGTTAGTTTTTCAACTCCTCAAAACGCTTTATTCAATCTTGATCATTCGGGAATTCACTCATTTTTGATATACCTTGCAATCGATTCCAATCAATAGTCAAACATTTGGTCAATTTCTTTATCGATAAACTTACCGATCATCCTACAGTCATCGTTGAAGCACTTACCGGTCTTCGGTTTCTTTCTCGATCACAAGATTTTCAATATCATGAAATCCTCGGTTGCTGTAAGGCGTCAGTTTTGATTTCAGATTATATTCTTTAATCTGTTCTGATTATGTATCTAACTAAACTTCAAACATTCAGGATTTTCACCAATTTATCTAATAAAGAATTGAATCAACATGGTAGATTACAAATCTTGATGTTGATTGATGAGCTCTTAGCAAATCATCGTCTAGGTCAGTTGTTTGATTTGCTTTACCCAAGATTAAAAAACTGAACTGATACCTTACAAATTTGAATCTTTTCAGATTTAAAATCAATGGGAGATGAGTTCATTGGTGGATATTGTAACTTGGTAGAAGGTGAAAAAGATCCACGTAATTTATTAGTAGCCTTCAGACTTGATAGAGTCATCTTGACCGAATTTGATATTAGTAGAAAAGTTGAAGTATGTCATTTGTTCCTATTCCAAAGTAAAAAATATGTTGAAAAATCATGAACTTATGATGGATCTTGTTCTTTGTCTCATCAGGAACTTTTTGATATTACTTTTTGTTATTTTCCAATCACTTTTCGGCCACCACCTGGAAATCCTGAAGCATATGGTGGTATTACCACAGAAGAATTAACAGAAGGATTGATCAGTTGTCTGGCTGCTACTCCACGTTTTGCTATTCTTACCCTACCTATCTTACTTGATAAATTGTTAGCTACAAGTATGGGTCCAAAGGTCGGTATCGATATCAGATTATTGTCTTTGTATAGCAGTTGATTTTATCTAATTCGGTTTTCTTGTTGATAGCTTCAAGTTCTAAGGACTGTTATCCAAGCGTTTCCTGTATACGGTCAACATGCCGTAGCCGAATTCGGATCCCTCTATTGGGAAGCATTTGCTACTGAGGTATTTTGATCACCATTGCGCTTCTCATTCTTTTCGTCATTTCCGCCCGATACTTGAATTATTGAGCCAAAATGCTGATCAATTGTATAATTTTTTGCAGATTTTCCAACCCACCGAACCTGATCAAGAGTTAATGAAACTAATCGAACCAGCCTTTCAAACTTTATTGCGCACAGTTTTCCCTTCGGAATCATCTGGACCAATAGAGCTAATCAATCAAATCTTGGACGTCACTCTTCATGAATTAGCCTCACCTGAGAAATCAAAAGCCGTTCCTGCTGCTTCTCTAATCGCTTGGATTATCACAAGTGGAGCATCAAAAGAAGAAGTGATCAAACTTACCATCAAACGTACCATCACACTTTATCTAACTGTTTGGAAGGATAATGTGGGTGGAAGTAGTGAGAGTGATGAGCGAATGCGTAGAAGAGCTAGTATCCTAAGTCATCTGATTACTTTCTTTACCGCTCTAGCTGAGATTGTACAAAAAGATGGTGGTAGTGAAGAACAAATCCTTGAAGGTGAAACAAGAGATGAACTTCTTGGAATCTTGATCAGTGCTAGTTTACAAAGCTCTGGTGGATCAGCAACGCATTTGATAGTGAGTGGTGCTATAAGGGCATTGGTTCAGATGGTCGAAGTCAATGGGCTCTTGGGACTTCAGGAAAAGAAGAATGTGGTGGATACAGCTACACGAGTATTGATGTCAAGTGTAGATTCTGCTACCCGGTATGTCGTTCTCAGAACCAAAAAATGATTTTACATGTCGTTCCCAAAGTTTAAAGATGTACTTACACTTTCTTCATTATCAGTGACGCTGCACTCGGTGCACTTGCAGTTTTGGCCTACCTCTCACCCGTGGACGTCTCAACACTCACTATCGCTCAACTTTTTGCTGAATTGCCTGATGCAAGCCCATTTCCAACACCCACCACTGCTACCTTCAAACAACCAAAAGATTATATTCGAGTATTGGAAGCACTAGCTACTTTATGTCATCAACCGGATTTATTTGAATCTTTCCTTGTTAGAATCTTAAACCGAATTGATTTTGCATGTTCAGCTGGTTCAAGATCTGCAGGAGGAGAAATAGATGAAGAAGATCATAATTTATATGCTCATCATCTTCTTTTAACACTTTATATCGTTTTAGAAACCAAAACTGAAGATAAATCAATAGGACAAAGCCAACTTGTTTTACAAGCTGAAAGGATTTTATTAAGGATCTTTGCAGTATTTATTTCAGAAGATGAAATGGTCGGAAAATCTCTTGCTGTAAAAGATCAAGGAGAACATGAAGTTTTGTTCGGTACTCCTGATGATCTTGAATTACTTGTTGTTCGTGAAAGAGTTTCGATTAGGAATGATACTCGATTGGTTGCCGATGCAGGTCGGATCGTCAATTTGATGGTCAGACAGATGGATTCAAAGTGAGAGATCGTCAATCTTCTTTTTGACACTTTCATCGAGCTAACTTTTCGGTTTGTGATCATAGACAACAACAGGATTTTGCAAATCGGCTGTATGCGTGCTACGAGTTGGGACAAACTGATGCACTTATTAATGGTGCATTTGAACCAAACTCACCACCGACTGCTTCGATGGCTGAAAAGCGTTTGTTTAGACCAATGTCCGTGAGTTTAGTTTTGTGATTTCAAGTAGCGAGATTTAAATTGTGTCTTACTCTTAACTATCTGGACTTTGCCATTTCCTTTTGAAAATAACGTAGACTGATGCGCCAGAGTCAGATAAGAATATGTTGGTGTTATACTCAGATGCATTGATTGCAATCAGACCTGATGTAAGTAAGATACTTGTCTAATTTCAAGAGGTTAATTGAAAAGGGTTTCCAATATCTTTCAACTTTTTAGGTTATCATTCCGGGTGAACTGTTGTCAACGACGGAATCATTTCCGTTTAAATATTATCGACATACGCTTGAGATGGGTGCTTCCACCAAGTTGTTGCCTATCAAGGCTGGTCTTCGGTTACTCTGCTCGACTGTCAATAGGCGTTGCAATGGTGCGTTTTTCTCATCATCAAGTGGATTCTGGGCGCAAGGAATTGACCAGTTTGTATCACTGTCTTTGATCTTTTTTGATGAGGAATCAGATTTCCCCCAGTTTTTTGATGAAGAATTACCAAGCTTTTGGAAATCAGAAATCGAAATCGGACCCTTAACACAACATCAACCTAGAATCTTAGCCATTGAGATTTGGATTTGGATCATAAAAGGATTGATTGTAAGAGGAGAACAAAGAGGATATGATTTGTTAGATCGATTGATTGAACTTTGGAATGAGAAAGGTGGAAGTGGAAAAGAAGTGATTAGGTTTACTGGATTGATTGTGGATGAAGTGGTTGGGTCTAGAAATTTTGGAGTGGTCAAGGTTTGAGAATTTTTTTTTGAGTTTTTTTTTGGAATTTAGAATGGTTATTGATCTTTTGGGATTGGAATTTTTGGGTTATAGTTTTTGTGGAAACAGAGAGCTTGTAGTTATTTGCTTAATAAGTTGGTTGAAGCTTATCATCGTCGTGATAGTGAGTACACTTTTTATTTATGTTTTGCATCATTGCGAGAATTGATGAGTTGTCTTGGGGGTTTTATGATTATAACAGATGAAGATAAAACGGTTTATTTGATTGGACTTGCAAGTCTTTTAGCACATGTCACACCTCAATTAATCTTACCAGAACTATCTCAAGTAAGTGAAAGATTTCTATGAAGTGAAATCTGAACCCATCGCAAAATAAGTTGTTTGATTGATCGAATTGATTGAAATTACTAATAGGTCATTGGATTATTACTTGAAGGTTTACATTTACCTGAAGATGAATTGAAAACCAATGTTTTGAAAACGATTAATGAATTAATCATGAATGAAGAAAGTTATGAAATCTTTGAACCTTATCTTTCTTCATTAATTGAAGGACTTTTGAAAACTTTGAAAAACAAAAATGGATCAGAAGTGAGTGATTTCGCTTACCGAGACTTTCCATTTACCTAAGAAAGTCAACAAATGAGGAAATATATCAATGATGATGATGATTTTTGTTTGTCTTTTCTTCTTTTCTAAATCTAGAATGTAAGGTTAGGATCTATTAAGATTTTAAATGGTTTACCTAATCAGTTTAAAGGTTCATTAACTTTATGGAACGAAAGGACAAAAGTTTTGATGGCTTTGAAAGAACTTTTAGATGATTCTAGAAGATTGGTTAGAAGGTTTGCAGTCGATTGTAGAACTAAATGGTTTGAATTGAAAAGTTTGTAAATACTTTACAAATGAAAAAAAATAAAACTGATTGGCTTGGTTTGATAGTTGAGATCGGATTGGATTGGGGTTTTAATCTTTATCATGTGGCAAAGTTTTTGGAGTTGGAAGTGAATTGGCTTTGGTAATTACCAATAGGGTTCTATGAGATTGTGCAAAAAAGACAATGAATCACTCAACAACTCATATTTACACAGCACACCTACCTCTACCTCCCTCTCATGGGCGGGATGGCGTAGGGTTTCTTTCTCTACATATTCCCTGGTTTCAAGGCATATCATCACGTCCGGGCCTGATCCCAACCCGCGCGGTCTTCGCCTAGTAAGAACTATGTACTCGTGCCAAAGCTAGCCACAGGCCGACAGGCGCGTCTGACTGTTCACCGTAAGACACCAGTGACCACATCCTCCACATCCTCCATGATCTCATTGGAATTCCTGGACAGGTTTCCAGAACTAATCGAGGCCGAGGATGTTTCCTTTCAATTTCAAAAAGCGCGTCGAATTTTGAGCAAGTTTTCCCGCTAAAACTCGCGCAAATTGGTCCAAAGACTTTGGCAAGCTTTGTGCAAGCGCGGCCGCGTCCCGCGCGAGAGGGGCTTAGTTAAGCTTAGTGCAATCAACACCTCCTGAGTCTCTTGGTGTAAACCTTCAGGTGGTTCCCTTGACAAGTTGACAAGTCGAATATCCATGGACCATTGGTGATGTTACATACTGTCGTTCTCGAAAAGTTTGTCCGAGTGTTCCCGCTAAGCTGACAAGTTGACAAGTCGAATATCCATGGACCATTGGTGATGTTACATAAACTTAGCAAAAGTCCCAAGCGTGGTACTTTTGCTTCTACTTTGAAAAGAGTTCCTCAAGAGAGAATTCTGTCAATCGAGCTGGAGTGTACACCGTGACCGAGTGGCAGAATTCGTCCACCGTGACCGAGTGACAGAATCCGCAATGATCTCTGTTAATCTTCGCCCCCGGTGCTTCTTCGCACACGGATTGTTGTTGATTATACTACGAAGGTACTGACACCACTTCAACCTCGTCGGCTCGTAGATTATGTAGAATAGAAAATCAAATATCACGCATCGTAGTCGTGCGAGGCCTCTTCTGCACAGCCATGACTGAATTTTTAGGTGAACCTGAAGATATAAAAGGAAGCCTCTTGACTGTGTTTTTTGCAACCTCATCCGCTTTCGTCATCTAATCATCTAATCATCAAATCCATTAGTTATATTTTTCTTTTCTTACGAAACTCTACGAATTACGAAAACTCTTCATCATGAATTTTGCTTTCATCATCTTATCTGTCTTGGTCTCTTTCCAAGCTATCATGACTTTACCTACTACTCTTATGCCTCGGCTTGAAAGCCAAATTGGCAAGGGTGGAAGAATTGATCAAAGATGTGCTGGCTTCTATAACGGTGGTTTTGTACCTGGTTTCTCCTACGATTATCGCGGCTATCTCAATGTTCCGTTTACTTCACAGTTCTACTACTCAATCAATCAGAACTACGGATTTGATAGCTGTAACGGGTTCGGCAGCGGGCAAGTGGTTTGGGGTCAGTGCTCCTTCCCGGGCCAATGCCAAGACTCGTACAATCACTACACGGGTCTCTTAGGTGGTCTCTTAGGAGGTGTTGGTGGCCTCGTGAGTGGTGTCGGTCAAGCCGTAGGAGGTTTAGTCAGCGGTGTTGGTGGTCTTGTGGGAGGGCTCGGGAACACTCTTGGCCTACTTTCGGATCAAGAACTCAAGGCGGTGAGTGTACCTGTCGTGATCTCCTATCCGTGTGGCCTTCTTACTCATCCTTTTGTACCGTTTGTAGGACACCAACCAAATCTAAATCATGAGCTCATGCAATCAACCGCGCCTCGCCATGTTAATGGTACGTGTTCTCATCATAATTGACTGTCCTTTCACCCAGAATCTAATCCATTTGAAACCATCCTATCATCATCCATCTTAGCAAACGTTTTTTTTTAAATCCAGTTTCTCTAGGCTTGTTCCCTAATTGCTTTAAACCATCAGCCCAATTTAACTCGGAGCTTTAGTTTATTTGTGACTGAATACTTGTTATCGAGGTTTTATTTTCATTTGTCAGCTTAATCAATTTCTTTTCTCTTTCATGTTACGCTATCATCTCAATTTATTTAGCTTATTTGTGATCGAATCATTGTTGTCAAAGTTTCATTCTCATTCAGCTTAATAAATTTTAACGTCCCACGAGATTTTCTCCTTTATGACATGTTGCGCCCTCAGGCCACAGTGCCATAATTTTTCCAGCTACAGCGCGTTGATATCTGAGCTCAAGTGAGCCCCTAACGAGTCCATGACACGTAGTTAAGCTACCGCTTTGATCAGAGCCAAGTTCATGAGTAGTAACCGTACAAGGCGTCTATATTAGAGATCGGGTCATCTCTACGCGCACCTGGTGTGTGATCGATGAAGGAAGGGAACTTGAGGATCGTGTCCTGAAAATCTCCACAGCAGTTCGATACACTTTCTGAGTAAGGAGTATACCCAGACGCTTGCAAGTTTCCTTTCTTCCCACTGTCGATTTTCTCTTCATTTCAGCCGTAATTCGTCTTTCACTTTTGATAATATTCTTTTAGAAAACTTTCAACCAAGACCTATTCTTGATAATAATCTGAGATAAGACCTATCATTAAACATAATGAATCCTGTGATGAATGTCAACAAACAGTCACGTCGATCCAGCCAACGCTACAGAGCATGATGATTCATCGACAGATTCGGCTCACGCTAAAGAGTCGACAAGAATGACAACCAAGGTACAGCCAGTGCTAAAGATACCGTCGAGGAAGAGAGATAAGGCACGTCGAAGCCGGCAAAAGCCAAAGATTCAGCTAACCCGTGTATTCATTTCAGTATTATCCCTTCATAAATAATGTATTAGTTTTGAAGATTGATTTTGCGCTTGGTTTCTTTGAAATTGCGACTTATTTTTCATCGTGATGACAGGAAATGTGGCAAAGGCAAAAGACGACTGTCAAACGGATCTGAATTCAAAGATACCCACCGAATCAACCGATAACCCAGTAACTAAAATTTACCTTGAGATCTTAGGCAGTGCGGCACCAAAGATGACGAACAGCAAGATTAAATTATCTGAGATGCAAACCAAGCAAGAACTTGATTAATGCTCAATGGGATTGTTCTGAAACAGAAATGTACAACATCGATCCCGAGGAGGAACAATGACAATTGGTGTTAGATATACGAACGACTTTGAACAAAGCGATGAAAGCAGCAACGGATGGCAACGCGGAAGAAACGTCTTTCCTGTTTATATTACACGCCAAGAACGGTGATACCAGTCCCGATTTGTAAAGACACGACATATAAAATCACAAAGAAAGTCATCGAGATCACAGACGATGATGAACCGGTTGATAAAATGAACTCAACTACAATTGAAGAGGAGTCAGGACGAACAACATTTTGTAGAGAATGGAGTTACGTTCATGCCAGGTGAGAAATAAAGTTTCTTTCGACAATCTAATCGATAGATATATTCTAACATGTCTTCCTGATCTATTGACTGAATCATAGGGGTTTTGTGTTGGATTTCTATAGTTATAGGAAGTTGAAGGTTAAAGGTCGAGATCACACTCTCCAGAAATGAAAAACTAAAAAAATGTAATTTTCAGGAAGGACAAAGAAATAGACATCTTGGTGGCAACTACTGCAGGATGAGTACCTGTGTGCTCAGGTAAAACAGCTTTTGAATTTAACAGAAAGGAGATTGGTAATACAAACTCCAGGAGGTGATCAAATCAAGTATCATACCAAATCTTTGCACCAAAGTACAAGTATGTATTGATGAAGATTGGCACAATTTTTGGTGAGCCTGTACCTTGTGCTTCAGGACAGACTTCTGCTTAACTATGGAGAAAAAATGAATGATTTGACTGATTCAGTTTGATGGTAGATAACAATCACATTGTTCAAGATCCAAATCTTGGAGTCTACCTTCATTGAGACCAGTCCATGCAGCTTGCTTATGTATAAGAGCTGACCAGCATATCTCAAGGTGATATTTACTATTCAGCGGGCATAATTTGAGTGTGCGTCCAGTAGACACAGTCTGTGTAGCAATATATAGATGAATTGATTCAGATGAGCTGACTGAGTGAAAGGTGATATTTGCAATTTGATACTATTCTGATGATGGAAATAAAAAAAGTATGGGGATGGGACATTCATTTCTTTGATCCAAGAGTAAAATAGAACTTTAGATGAATTTAATGAATGAAAAAACATAGAAAAAGTTTTCCATTGTTATTATCCATCTCAATTTCTACCCCCAGACTTTGCACCGTCTCCCAAGCCACTATTGAATTTGATGGACAAAAAATAGTATGTTGAAGACTACATATGTACATACAAATTTATACTGGTGAGGTTATCTCTAGCCTGATGATCACTTGTATGATGTTCAATACCTATGATTATCACCCTGTAAAGATTCAAACAGCTTCATACATATTAACCCAATTACTGCAATCCAAGCTGCTTTTGTAATAAAATCAGACACAATTCCCCCACTTGATTTATCTTTGCAATCGCGACACCATAATAATTTTCTTATCCTCATGGGTGGCAAGTCAAATTCCTCCCCTGGATTTTCATTTGGGGCATACATCTTCTCATCAAAGACTCTGTTTTGTTCTTCAAACATTTGACCTTGCTTTACACGCTCCTGAACACTCTGAAACATAGGTTTGTATGTTACCGAGGCCTGTGTTGAACCTGTAGCTGGAGTTGGCAACAAAGTGCTTCCCAAATCTGAATGAGTAGCACTAGATACCAGAGGCCTACCATTCACCAGATTTTCCATACTGAGTAAAAGTAGGAGAACAAAGTTCCCAATTTTTGTCTTGAATACTGGTGCTTTGTTTAGATTGATTGCAGTCATTATGTTGCTGTAGATCTGGTGAATTAGACAAGAATTCACAATTTAAGATTCTTGGAAGTTATAAGCCTTTTGAGAAATAATCTGACTTACCAAGAGGAAGATTATACGGTAGTATATTCTAGTGTTTGGGGTAGTGTTGCTCTTGATCTTCAGAAAGAGATTTGTGATCAAGAGTTTAGAGAGGATAGATTGACAATATGGATTGTTATCTACTTTATGGTGGATATGTGGCTAATAGCTATTTGCTTGTGCTGAATGACTCAAGTGATAATCAGTTGAAAATTGAACTTTGTGATCTCTCTCTCCAGAAATGGAAAATTGGCAACAAATACGCAAAATGCAAGAAAGCCAAGGAGATAGAAATCTTGTGTGGCAACTGAATGATGGAGGTATTTAAGTAATCCAATGCTACATCACTCTCAAGCCAGCAAAAAAACAAATGCTCCCTCACATGTCTGACCAAGTATTCAGACAAAACCTCAGTAGATGACCAATTAAGATATTACACAAAACATTCCACCAAAGTTTGTACTGATGAAAATAGACATACCTATATGGGGATTTTGAGTTGGTACAGACTTCTGCTCCTGTATGGAGCAAAATTGAGTAAATGGACCTAATTAAAAACAATGGTCAAGAAAGATGAGACTGCACAATCAAGATGCTGAAGTCTGTTTTGAGTGAGCTCAGTCTACACAGCTTGCTTGTGCAGCAAGGTCGCAAAAGTTGACCTATCTCAGCATGGAATTAACTGCTCAAGGCTCAAACATGAGAGGATGTCTTAAGTGGTTGAAGTCTGCCGCATTGGAGAGGCCAGACAATTTGGATCAGCTGACCTAATGAAAGACAACAGTTACTATTTGAGCCTATTCTGATGATACCAATAATGAAAAGTTTGAGTGGGCAAGAGTCAAGCAAGATTCATGTATATATGTGATAAACCTGTTATTAAAATTTAGAGAATTGGTAAATACACGGAACCAACCTGGGATCTGTACAGGGTATTGCATGGTATGAGCATATTTTATGCTTATCCAAAGAGACATTTATTGCTATTTATTTTTGAAAACTTGGTCATCAGACTCCCTTGAAGCATTGATAATTTTCTCACTTTTCAATACTTATTGAACAATTTTCTTATCAAACAGACCACCAAAAATAGAGTTTTTTGCTGTGAATTTGTTTTGGGAATCCCAAAAATTCCTCAGATTGATGTGGTCCATGCAGATACTACCACAACAATCTGTTATCTGCTTCCCTCTACTTTAATTATTAGCAACCAAAGTTGAGATGTGACAAATATGTAAAAAATGTGGCACATCTAAACAGATTTTTTGGTAAGCTACTAGCTTCTGTTAGGATAGTAAATCACTAAATAAAAAGGGGAAACTTGAAGAGGTTATACTACAAGGTTTGAAGGTGGAAAAACAAGGTTAATATACTGTACTTGTAACAAACAAGTACCAACTACAGTTGGAGGACCTTCAAACAAAGCCTTTTTGAGGAATTTGAGAATGAATTTCTACAAGTGGTTTTGTAGAAAGCATGCACTGACTAATCAGTGATAACCTTATATCAAATACCTTTTTTAACTAAAAGTTGTTTGATCAAGAATTTCTCTTATAGTATTTGTTACTTTACACTCTGACTTATAGAGGTACCACATAATCTTAAAGTTTCTTGATCTGACCAAATCCCAGTCAGATACAAGCTGCACTTAAAGAATAGTCTGATTCCATAAATGGAAATCAACAACTATGATTATATTGTGTTTGGGAAAAACAATAATATTACAACAAGATAAGAGAGACACACAAACAGGATAAAAGTTAACATAAATAAGGTATTAAAGTTCAATTCACTGAAAAGCTTATAACACTGTGAATACTGTATTTTACCAATGTGAAAAATGATTGCATCTGATGCCCAAAATGATTGAAAATGTTGAAATGATGCACTAATTCTGCAGTTTTCTCTTCTGCATTAAATGCAATCATTTTTCAATGGGTGAAATACATTATCCACACAGTGTAATCTAGTTGGTGATGAGGATATATGGTTGTGTTTATGGTATAATAACAAGTGTTCAATTGTAATGTGATGACTTTCACAAGGTTGGAAT